GCCCGTTCTCTTTATGACTTTTATTGTAGTGTAATTTGAAAGTAATCCTACAGATGAATTTGACGGCAAAGCGGCCACATTTGCACGTGGCGATAATATGCATGCGCAGAAAGCTCATTTCCTGGCAAATTCAATTACGACGTTTGCGACAACCGACTTCGGGGGCTGGGGGGGGGGGGATTTTTTTTTTTCGGACGGGCAAAAATCGGTGCGCGCGCAGGATGTCATCCATAAAAATAAAAAAGTGTGGCCTAACAAAGAGAGTAGGAAGTGGATCATTTAAAGATCAAAGGCAACACCTTGTGCAATAGGGGCGTTTCACGGAAGGGGAAAAATATTTCCTGATGAGAAGCGGCAGGGGCGACCTCGGCCACACAAAGGGTTTTACAGTTATACAGCTCTTAAAAATTCTCTGTAATGTCAATTATATTAAGTAGAGAATTATTTTAAAAACTGATGGTGAATTGCCAGAAATATCCTGCAGTCGAGAACCAAAATGAGCGTGAAAAGCGTGAAAATATTTTGTGAAGATTAACATGGAAGCAGTGAAATAAGCAGTTACAGCCATTTGAACACACTGGGTCAATTAAAAAAATGAAAAATATTAATCATTGTAAGCCAAAACTCCCAAATCAAGATAACTATTGCGATTACGGAAAGTGATGACGTAATTTCATGGTTTAAAATGTATCACTTTATGTTTCAGCGCGAGATGCCGGCGCCGCTGCCAGTTAACGCCGCGCCTGCACGGCCGGAAAGTCGAGGGCCGAATGCACCTCCGCCAGAAATCTAATTCCAGTATACTATTTAGCAATACATGTATATAGTGCTTCATGATGTTGCGAAATGCGAAATCTAGAGAAGAAAAATATACCAATTAAGCACAGCAGTATTTCTATTATACCTGTATTAATTATAATGCATTTATCTATTTCTAATTATGTCATTATTGACATTTCGCATATTCTACAGCGACAGTGCACAAATGTTCTGATCAAAATGGATCACGTTTCAGCCAATGATGGTCGTTTCACTTCGGATGCGAGACAGTAAATTAAATTCACCACTGGTTTTGTTTCACTATAATAGTAGATCTCACTACTCTACCAGTAAGTCAACCAGGAAGTGGCTGGATTGGTTGTCCGCTGAATATGTTCGCAACTGTGGTTCAAGTCTTTTCTGTTATTACTATCTTTATCGATACTTATTTAGCAATATTAAACGGAATTTCACGTTTTTATGTTTTTATTGCTTACAACTTACTTGACTTTTATTTGAAAGATTTGAGTCTTTGTCAAAATACACAAAAATGATTTTCACCTTTGTACACATAGATTTTAAGACAGTTCTTTTGTACAATTGGCAATAGACAAATCAAATATGCAATGTAAAGTTCATGTTTTTATGTCATGGCGGCAGTGAGCAATAAGTAATGCAGGCAGGGCCAGCAGGTCTAGATCTCTGGGTGGTACAATCTGTGCGAGGGCCTGGCACGAGCAAGCTCCACGTGTCAACGCTTGTGTATATTTCATGTTTTCGCGCCATTGTGGCTTGAATGATTTCCATGGAAACCACGCGCGGATCCTCTAGGTGGAGTTCTCCTTGTCTGTGGCCGTAGAAAAGACTTCGGATGAGCTGTAGGACAATTTCTGTAGCTGAAAAAGAAAAAAAAAATAAAGTTATATTTTAATATAGCTAGTGTGTTTCATAGTAAAATTAATTTAAAAACAGGCGTAACATTTTAATATTTAAATGTAAAAAGGTTTTTGCAACGAATCATTGGCGCCAAGAGATCCCTAGAACGGACTTTGCTTGTCTTTGCGATACGTTTCTTCGAATTTCAGATGCCAAATTACATATACCTTATTCCAAACAAAATAATTTTATTGGATTTCTCTCTGTTATAAGACCGTAACGTTTTCTCAAATTCCAAAGATCATTGAAAGATGGAAATCAAATTAATTAAACGCGTCACATTCATATCACACAACACGAAAACACGAAACTAGGTGTTAAATTTATTATAACGAATTGTTAGTAATGCCTTTTAAGGCCGAAACCTTCGATACAAGTTGTTTTATTTCTTATTCTAAAAATTGTTAATAATGCCTATAAAGGCCGAAATTTAAGAAACTAGCTGTTTTATTTTTTGATTTAAAAAATGTTGATAATGTCCTTATAAGTCCATAACTCCGTCTTACTTGATCCCCCGATGCTGCACAGTGTGACAGATACCCCAGATTTCTTTGTCATCAAATCCTTGTGTAGAACGCTGAAGAAACCCGCCAGAGCGTTCTTTGAAGCAGTGTACACTGACATATGTGGAGAGTTCATTGCACCTAAAACGCAATCATAATTACAGGCTTCACAAAAAGTGGTTTGTTTTAGGGATTTTTTCCTGTGGCCAAATATTTGGAGTCGATTTAAAAGCTATGCATGTATCATATCATTTTTTTTTAAATATCGCTTATTTGTCATTCATTTCCCGTAGTTTTACAGATTCATCACAACTGCCTGCACGGATGTCTGTACAAGGTGACCAAGACTCGAAAGAAAAAACATGAATAAGAAAAAATAATAATAATAGTAAATAAATAAATAAATAAATAAATAAATACTGATGACATAAAGGAATTCCATTTGCTTTCGAATAACTCATTTCCCATATTGATATATAAAGTGCAATACCAGCCATTGAGGTAACAACAGCGATTCGACCGCGGCTCTTCAGCAGCAGGGGGAGTGCGTGCGATGCCAGGTGAACATGTGACCGGAAGCCAATATCCATCCCCGTTGCTAGGATACTAAGATTGGCCTTGGTCCCCAGCCAAGGGTTACAGATAGTAATCAAGGCGTGTGTCAGAACTAATATGTCCAACCCACCAAGCCGCTCTTCTGCAAACTGAAAATTGGTAAACTGTAAGAATTGTTTGTCTTTTAAATTCTACTTCTTAAATTTTTACTCCACGGTCAAGGTATTGAATTTCGCGCCCTTACTTTCAAAATATATAAACAATCAAATGCCCCAGTCAATCAAATACACTCAAAAAAAAAAAAAAAAAAAAAAAACAGAATTGACGTGTTAATTCTGCAAATGTCCATTAAACATTAATCTAAAAGTAACGCCAAATAAATATATGCCTGCACTCAAAGTGCTTTTTCTTGTTTTCATTTTTTATTTATTTATTTATTTTTCAACAACGAGGCGTTTCCTGCTACCGGCATTCAACTATAATAAAAACATCTTTTATTGAATGTGATCATTCGGGACTTAATGAAACTCGTAATTATCCATTCTAAAATAAACCGCTACTTGTACTTACCTTTACCACCCTCTCTGTGTCCGCCATCTTGGACATATCTGTCACCACATACACGTGGTTTGGTGATGGATTTGGAGAAAGTTTCTTACATTCTTTTTGTACCTATAAATAAAGGTCCATTAAATTAAGAGGTTATTTGTGAACAATCCGATGCTGAAACCCCTCAGATGACAACAAAAATGTCATTATTGACGTACCTTACACACGCTTTATCCCACTGGAATAATGAGTGTTTCTTAAATCGTAAATGTATCTTATTAATTTGGCTGTTTTGAAATAGAGTTATCAAAAGTAGGCCCTACTAGAGTGCAATATCTTCTCAAAAGATTTAATATTACAAACCTCATTAATAATCAGTTAATTGATTGAATTTCTCTTACATATTGCAATTATATATCACCGAGTATCCAACTGCTTGGAGGAATTTTTCCGCCCTCTTTACTCCATTCTAAGTCGGAGTTTTGAAAATATTTGACAGTCAACATCGAATCCAAAAGCCAGTGTTCATGAATTACAAATATATCACTTTTTGGTGACGGGTATCTGTGAAAGTGGGGCAAAATTTGTTCCCCGATCAGCTTGTAATGGAGGCTATACAACGAATATAGCTATAAACGGTACTTTATTTTACGATTAAAATGCTACTACTACTACTACTACTACTACTACTACTACTCCTACGAGTAATACTACTACTACTACGAGTAATAACAATATGTTGTTTGGTGATAAAAAAATTTGCGACATTGTGTGTCTGTGCCTTTTTCAATGCTTTCTCCCTGCCGTCAACCAGGACAAGAATTGCTCCCATCTTGGCAAAATGGTACGCCATCTGTTCTCCAATGCCAGTGGAAGCTTCGGTCACTAAAACCCTCTTGCCCTGCACTTCGGCTGAAATGTGAATGTACATCATAATATAGAAAAGATGGGTCAGTCTGTTATGTCTCGCTCTTATGTCTAGGATAGTTACATAAAATAGGTACATGTACATGTCTGTCAACCTGGGCTCCGTGCTGGGGTGCCCCTGCCAATTAGAAAAGAATGACAGATGGAATTTTGAGTATGTTTCGGTTAGTTTGTTTAAATTTAAATAATATAAACGGGTGGTGTTACGTTCTTAAATACGCTGAAAATTGCTGAATAATTGTCACCAAATTAATACTCTCATCTCTAGATGGAATCTATCTACAAGAGGTAAATTAAACAAATGTCTTTGGGAGGATATGGATCGAAGAGTAATTTAAATAATTTTTCGGTGTTCTCCATTGAATAAAAGTACAAACACGGGTCAAAGTCATCCCTGTATGTCACAGCCACCAATGCGACTAACGCGGCCAGGGCTGTTGCAGTTAATTGTAAGTTTATCGCCATTCCGATATCTGTATCATCTTGTCTGAAACAAAATAATGTGTGTGTACTGGAAAGGCCAATTATTAATAAATGAAAAGCTGTTGCATTGACTGTGCATGGAAATCAGAATTTATATATTGCAAGAACCTTCAAAACACACACAACCTTCTATGAGAGAGAGAGAGAGAGAGAAGAACATGTAGAAGAGGGAGATGAAGGAAAGGCTCCTAACTTCCACACGCAATTATTAGCATAAAACACACACACACACACACACACACACACATTAAACAATGCAGCTGATATGTGTTCCAGTATATCTATAGCATTATCATACATGTAGGTACAGTTGCCCTCACTTACTACCCGTGAATCATGGGGTATTTTCATTTTTTGAGCACCCCGGAGGGAAGGAAAGAATCGACAAGTGGAAGAAGAGGGGGACGAATAGAAACATTACCACTGAAAAGTGCGACTCATTACGAACAGTTACGCTCTAGAATAACGTTAACAAGACGCAAATCACTGTCATCGCATCCGAACATGTCTAATTATGCCGCAACAGGATACTCACCATCGTGATTCACCTGTACAGGTAATTGCAGGTAGAATATATGACATGCAAACGGCATTAAATACAACACCGTGTCTCCGTATCCTCATTGCGAGTACACAGCTTCATCCTCTTGATCAAATGCTGCTTACATCAGTGGCGGACAGGACTGACATCTCCATTAATGTGCTGGTAATAACATCCTTAGGCCCTTAACCCCACGTTAAGAACAGAGACGCCCAAGCTCTTGGAGTGTTAAATTATCACAGCCTTCACCTGTGTCGCGACACAGCACGCGCTGTTAAGTAGGTCATTCACAATACATGTAGGTCACGTTAAAGGAAAGCAAGGAGGGCGCGTTTCTCACCTTTATTGATAAGAAGTGCAATGTTTACATAAGGTTCATTCGAAGGCCCGCAGGTGGGGTTGGACAGTTTGGAAACAATCGCCCGTTTGGACGGCAAAGGTTCGCTCTGTATCAAAATTAGGTCTCAGCCCTACAAATATGCCATTTCATAAGTCCGGTCTACAATATTTACAAATAAGGGAAATGTCTTTTTTCTTTTTTATCTTATTTTATTTTAAGTAAAAGCAGCCCACTTTTGAAATCTCTGACTGCAGGCTGAAACATGTGTGCTTATGTCTTACTAGAAGAAAGCCATTTGGGTACATACATTAAGACCTGATATACAAGTCACTGTACTTACATCAGTGGGGCATGTAAGGTACGGGGGCGGGGAGACTTTTATACTGAAAATCAGAAAAATCCAAATATATGAAAGCACTTGAAATGTATGAAATGGACGACAGATGCCCTAGCTATATGAAAATACAGGAGGCACCTTTTTGTGTTCCGTCGTGTGAACCGCGAAATAATCCCTTTATATAACATACAATTTAGCAGTAGTAATTGTAATACATGGAATGTTCACCAGTACTGTACGTCGCGTATTCACAACATGTGTCTCACTGCACCGGTGCATGTACCGGGGGAAAGTGCCCACTGAGTATCACTTCTGTTATTTTTAACGAAATTAAAATAAAACATTAATGGAACTATTACATGTACTAACATCATTATCATCATTATCACCATCATCTTCTTCTTCTTCTTCTTCTTCTTATTATTATTATTATTGATCTTTCTTTCGTTTACTGGTAAAATGGGCGCATAACCATCATAACTCTCTCTGAATACGGTATCACAACCATTGTATTTTTAATACATCTAATTGGCTTACTTAGAACCAGGTAAGGTATCCATCCCTAGATTGGGTTTGCATTACCGGATGTCTATTTCAAATTAGTCACCATTATACTAATGTCACTTGGGCTTACTTTCTGAAAGAGACGTCATTCCACAACAATAATACCGATCGGTTGCATAACATGCACGTGGATGGGTTTCAAACCAAATCAGGACGACCAATCAGCCACCGAATTTGCACGTGCTCTGATTAATCCTGCTCCTAATAATTTGTTAATTGGCCACGAGGGACAGATTTTGTTTCATGCGCTCAAATTGATCGATCCCTCGGTGATGGACATCGAGAAGATTGCGTGCTCTTCCCGGCATAACTTAGTGATAGTAGGCTAGAATATAAGACGTTTCACGCGCTAGTCTGATCCCTTTTGAAGTCTTTTAGAAGACGAACCGTTTGAAAAGCGTTGCCAAGCTGACGGAGCTTTTCAGTTTTATTATTATTTATTAATTAACTGATTGTCTGTACGTAATTTATTTGGTACGAGTGTCGGCACAGCAGACATGCATTCTATGTAAGTCAATGGGCCAATTGACCAAATGACTACTTGACATTTAGCTCAAGGGAGCCTTTACCGCTGACAAGCTGTACACCAACATTAAGACTGCAGACATTCTAAGCAAGATCATCGTAAGCACTGAATGAAAAGGTGTTTTGCCGTTTAACTTGCAACGACATGGTTCTGAGCATAAAGCTGCACTTGCACTCCTATAGACAAAAATAAATGGCAGAAAACCAAGGAGGCAAAGTGGAAATCCTGACTTCCATGTATGTGACGGAAACGGATTTGAAAATCGAACAAAAGAACTTGATTCTTGAAACATGATTCTTGAAAATGTGACACTCACGACTGACTTAGACTATGCCCGATGGAATGATTCCCTGGATGGTCACTCCTTCATGAATGGCACTGGTGCGGCAAACAATGGATCAACTTTGACCAGTTCAGAAGAGTTGATTGCCTGGACACGTTTGGGTATGCTCGCAGTGTCAATCATCGGTATGTGTTGCAATGTTTTGATCTTGCTTTTGGTCACTTTGAGAAAAGAGGTTAGAAAATGCCCAGTGTCCGTCTATCTGTCTGCCTTGGCCATCGCAGACTTTATTTTCTGCTTGGATTTATTACGTTGGTATTTCGAATGGGCTGACTTAATTCCAATATCATGGGGGGATATTTATTGCAGCATTGCCAATTTCCTAGGCCATTTTGCAACGGGTCTTGCGCACTGGATTATCTTCTGTATCTCAGTAGAAAGAATGGTCAGAGTAGTTTTTCCATTCAAAGCCAAGACCCTGTTGACTGTGAGACTTGCAAGGATCGGTGTTGTCGTGTTCGTATGCTGGTCCGCCCTGCCGAACATTGCCCGCTTTGTTTTCGAGCGCCAAATCCCTTTATACAACACCACGTGGATTTGCTGGACATTGCAAACCGATACCATAGGGCCACTGTATTATAATCTCTTGCGAATACTGATAGAAACGCCTCCAGTGTTTTTGGTCATCGTCATCAACTGCATCACGGTGTTCAAGCTGCGTTCCCACTGGACAAGAATGAAAAAAGGGGGTTTAAGACACCAGAGTGAACACTGTCCTGGTGGGGTGCAGATTTCGCCACAGGAAACGGCTCTGACTATTACTTTGGTCGTCAACGGGATGTTGTTCGTCGTCTTGGAAACGCCTTACTTAGTAACGGAGTTCATAGCTCACTACAGGCCGTCAGATGATATTACAGCATTGCACTTCATAGTGGGGAATGCCTTTAAATTGGTAAGCGGTACTGATCATGCTTGCAACTTTTTCGTCTACGTTATTGGATCTCCCATGCTCCGACGTGAATTCTGCGCCATTTTCTCATGTAACAGAGGCACCCAGCAAAGCAACCCCGCGGTGGCACTTAATTCCTTAAAGTCTGCTGGAGACATGCAAGGTAGTAGTTATACCCTAACGTCTGTCAGCACTCAACAGTCTTGTTGTACCACGAGTAGCATGGACACGGCTTTGTCGGAAGGCAAATTGTAAAATAACGAAACTTCTCAAAACAATGTGGCTCTGATTGTGAAATGACGGCATTCCGGCCCTATGAATGGTAAGATTGATAAATGCTATCTCTTAAACTGATATTGTAGTTTGGATAATGTATTGGTATATTACACATGAACATCGGAATAATTGTTTCAGGTACATGATATTCTCATATTGTGATTTAGATAATTTAACAATGGTTATAAAGAAACGTATCATTTTGTTGTGAAGGTGTTGTACTTAAAAGACAATTAATTGTGTGATTTATAAATGTTGTCGACTTAGGTTGTATCTTATGGCAAACTAGCCAGATGCAGTAATCTAAAGCAATTTGTCTTACCAAAGACGTCAAATGTACATGATTAACAGGCCCAAGAAAATAGGTCCTATAATCATGATGATGTAGACATAAGCCCTAGCAGTACTTACGGATATCATCTTTTCTATTTAACAAAAAATATTTATGTTAACCTAATGTCACTCATTCCGTGAAACCTCGTTGGATATCAAAGCATATGTAGAAATTCATTGTTTTATGATTTTATAAATTATTCATTTAATCAATTGATTAATTAATTCATGACTTATATATACATTTTCTTCTATTATATTTGTTAATAAGTATGTTGCATGTGATTGAATAAAAAGTTTATGCACTCAAAAAAATTAATTTCCCCCTACCTTCTCTAGTGGACATGCCAGACCATTAATCTGAATACATTGACGGCACTTTGTACATTATTCCCACAGATATAGGTCGATCCTGCTGGTGCGCTGACTTTATTCTGAACGCTTCCATCTATGATGTGCGCTTGCAGCCCCAGTTCCCATGTGCGGATTATAAGTGCGTAGTAACATTGTATTATTAAAACGTATTATAATATAACAATTCACTCGTCCTCCCTCTGCTGGGTTGATGCTCTCAATCTCTCATCCTCCCTCTGCTGAGTTGAAAGGTTCCCAGTGCACCATGGCCTGTTTACAACATAGTGTGGCACACCTTGACCTGGTAGAAGCCATGATGTCACCCTATCAGCGTCTTCTGTAACTCCCCGTAACCTGCTATTTCCCACGGTACGTTCGTACATGTAAGACTGCATCATTGCGAATAAAGGGACCGAGGTGTCTCCATCAAGCATATGGTAAAGAAACAAACCGGGAGAACAGTTCTGAAAATGGTCTCCCTAAATGTAATCGGTTTTCTGGTCGCGGTGGTGATTGCCGCTGGCCAAACACAAGGCGTAGACCAAGATGTTTTTACTAAACAGATGTTGCTGTACAAACTGAATTATCAAGTAAGTTTTGCTCGGTAAATCTCTCCTCCTCTCTCTCTCTCTGTTGGTTACAGAATAACTAATTAAAATACACTTTGTAAAATAAAACCGACATCAATTTTATGGCGCTAAAAATCGCGGACGATGACTACAGTCGATGTATTCTCTTTAGTTTCATGGTATCATAACCAATCAGTTAGCTTCCTTGATTATAAAACACCGCCATTCCGTTATCCATAACAGGTGAAACAAATGGACGATGAACTTTTTACCACATGTCCAGGGTTTTTCACCCACCCTGACCATTCGTCCATGGGGATCATTGGCCGAAGAGCAGCCTACGGGGACGCCTTCTTGGACCTGGAGATAAAGTTGGCCAGTAAGACACTGGATGACCTGAAGAAAAAGTACCTGTTGTGTTTGGAGAATCCGAGCGCTTTTAGGGGACCCACGACTACTAAACCTGTAACTACCACTACTACCACCACTAAACGCACGACAACCATGAAACCGACTACGACTACTTCTGCTATTTACTTCGGTGAGAAAATAGCATGCCAGATCTTTTCAATCTCGTCCCTAACTTGACAGGTTTATCCATCGGGTTTTAATATTACAATAAACATTTAGACAAATGAATATTGATTCAAACCTAAGACAAACAGTTAGCAAGACCCTATAAGACTTAAATGGTAAATCTCACCTCTCAGACATGCAGAATGAGACGTTCTCAATATATTATATATTAATTGATTGTTAAAGGTATCGGTCAGTCAGTGAGTTGCATTAGTCGTTTTGATACCATT